TTTTTCTGGCAATGTCGATTGGAAGTGGAAGAAAATAATTGGGGGGAATTGTGAGACGTCAAATGAATTTAGGGGAAAAGAAAAAATTGTGAAACTCAAATTGAGTTGGGGATATTTTAGTATTTTTATATGCTAAAATGGCTATAAAACATCTTTTCTACAAAACATGGTTAAAATTCATCTTTTATAAATTTATATGGCTATTTAATGATATTAACACAATTTAAAATGTTCAAGGATAAAACAGTAATTTGAAGACCATACGTTGTAATAGGGGCTGGTAAATAGCCCTCGTCTTAAAAGATAGTTTCCGACTAGGCCAAACAAACCCAACAACTTTAAAACACCAAAATAATGTTGGAGATTTATTAAAGAACTAGTATAGTTGCCCGTGCGATGCACGAGAGCTAAAAAAACTTGCAATTAACGATTAAATATTATTAAACATTTTCTTACCTACAATGTCCTTCTTCTTAGAGTTATTTTTATTATCACAAATTAATATTTTCAACCGTCTCTTCATGTTCTTCAAAATCATTCTCTCGCTGAGCAAAATTTTCTTTGTCTTCATCCTTAGCATTCTTTGTTGTTAATGAGCTCGATTCACTGAACAACTTTCTCTTATAATAATATTTCAATGGTGGCGATTCCTTGGGAATTGTATTCTTTTTTAGACTGATCGCCTCGTCATCATCAATTTTTTCTTCGTCATCCACATCAGCTCCCTATAAATGTAAAATAACCAAATAATTAACATTATATACTTTAATTTTATAAATTCATAATATTAGTTAATTATTAATTAAAAATATATAAAAAATATAACACTCCTAAATTATAAATTTATATGCATTGAAATTAAAAAATATGTACACATATAAGTAGTAGAATCTGTAGAATGTTTTTGTTTCATTTTCTACCATAATTGAACAATAAAAAACACATGGCCATGATTAAACTAATCTATTAAATCATTCTATATATATTCGTGGATAGATTAAATTAATAATTACAATTACTAATGAAAATTTGTGAACTAAAAAATTTAAGTTGAATCAATGTCACAACCAAAATAATAATCTCATTTCAAATAAGTAAAAAAAAAAACCCTATTACTTAAAGTTAAGAAAAAACTTAGAGTAATAATCCAAATACCGTTACTAAACTTAAATTAATTAATCCAAAACATATCTAAATTTTCACTGCAGCCTGATCGACAATTAACTTTGTGACCATGAAAAGCAAATTCGTACCTTCATATGGCGTATAAAAAGCTCTATATGAAACTTCTTGATAGAAGCATTAATACGGTACCCCTGAAATTAACAAATAAAAAAAACAATTATAAAACAATCAATTATAAGGGAAAAGTATTATAGTTGAGCGATCCCCAAATGTTGTACGCTCGTAGCATCTTACAACGCGAACCTTGATGTTCCATTCAGTCTTGTCCATGTTCACATTCTTAAGGAGAGTGAATGCCACGATTTTTTTTTGTTTGTTTTTTTTTTGCTTGCTTTCGTGTGTGTTTTGCAATGAAGGTACGAATGACGGAATAGAAGTATTTATTTATTTATAACAATAACGATTCAATACTTAATCCCACTACAACTACAATAGTAAAACATGACTTGTTAACTGCCACATGTTGTGAGTATTTTTACAGGAGTAGAATCGAAAGATTCGTTCCCCGGGTCGTATCGCAAGGAAGGTTAGCCGGATTCAATTGTACGATTATTCGATCACGAGAAAGAAAAGAAAAATTCCTAAACACTCTATTCAATAATTTTGGGGGTTTTAATTATCAGCTAAAGATTTAAAACTAAAGCAAACAAATTAAATAGCAAGCGAATAACCTCGAATGATTAAAGTGCTAGGGAATCGGGGATAATTGCTTTCGGTTCTAACACAACTACCTACATTCAATTGCTCGGTTAAGGGACTTGAATCGTCTCTCGTCCAGAGGCTCACTCTCAATAACTCTTCGTAACAAGAGAGTGAACGTACACGATCAACTATCAATTCCAACAACCCATAGACAATACTATTACGAACAAGTCTACTCTAAACAAGCCTATATCGACCAACGTCTCCCCTCTCGGTTCTACACGTTGATTAATTAGGTTAGAAAGGTGATCAATCTACTAACCCTAGAATAAGAACAACTTGAATAGATATGAACAATTAAGAACAAGCAATTATAATCGAACCTAATCAATCATCCCCTATCCCTAGCGTATGGATTTAGCTACTCATATGGAATTCACATCAAAACTCACAAAAACCCAAGCCATCATCATCAATCAAGCAATTGAAAAAATAAGAACTTACGATTAATAAAAGAATCCCAATGTCAAATCCACTGAACAACCCAAATCCAAGCCAGAAAACAGAGTTTTAATCTCCAAAACCAATCCAAAACAGCAAAAGTATGAAAAGGAATGAGTTTCTAGAGAGAAAAAGTGTAAAAACAAGGTCTGGAATGTGAATATTCATGTCTAGGTCGAAATTCTGAACTTAAAATCCCATCCTCGAAAATCGCGCCGATCAGGCGCGAGTCGCGACATAAGTCGCGAGTCGCAACTTCTAGTTTTGCCGAGTCGCGACATCTCGCGAGTCGCGCGTCTTCGAAAAATATGTAAATTCTGGGGAAACTCGCGATCTGACTCGCGAGTCGCGACTTGTCTCGCGAGTCGTGACCTTCTCGCGAGTCGCGACCATCTCACGAGTCGCGACACTGACTCGCGAGTCGCGAGAAGTTCTGAGCAGCTTTTCGGTCCGTTTTTTCGGTCCTTCCTTCAGTATTCTGAGCACGTTAACGGGTCTTCTTGATATCCCGGTCTCAGCTCAAGTAGCCCCGTCCTCGATCAACACAACCTACCTCCTGAAAACACAAACACGAAGCAAAACAAGGCAAAAAGACGCACAAAACGAACTAAAGAGAAAAACAAAAAAATCACAGAATTGGACCAAATAAACTACGAAAATCCTATGCGTGGGGAAAAATAAAGAGAAAATAGACCCAAAATAAAGATACAAAAATGGGACAAACACCACACAATAGAAAGTGTTGAGTCGTTAACTGCACGATACAGTGCCAGTACTTAACTACTAAACACGATAGGTAATCCAATTCAACCACTTACTGTAATCCAATTCATTCGTTATTTATTATTCATTATTTACTGTAATCCAATTCATTCATTATTTATTATTTATTGTTTATGGTTTATTAGTATAAAAATGCCGCAGTTACAAATGAACGATGTAGGTGAAACTTAATATCTGAATACAGTATATAGTATTAGTATTATTTTTACTATATTATTATTATTATTATTAAATATTTTCGTTTAAATTATTTATCTAATTTTCATAATTTACTTTATAAATATAAATAATTATAAGTGTTCGTATGCTTCTTGCCTAAGTTTTATAAATTTTTTTATCTTAAATTTTGTGTACAAATATTAAATCTAATAGTAGTGAAATTAGATATTAAATATTTTAAAAACATGTAACACACAAACATTCTTCATAAATCATAATAAATAAATAAATAACATGTTTGTAGAATAAAGTAGAATAAAGTGAAAAATTTTAAAACTTAAAGATTCAAATGTACAACCACCCACGTAGGATCAACATGCAATTTATATACTTTCCTAATATAGAAAGAGTATTATAGGACCTACAATTTACTTTCTAAAAATAAAAAGTGAGTTGTCTAATTATATAATAATAAATAGATTTAATTTAATGTCATGCACACCGTCATTTTCCTATGGATCGGAGAATAATATTCTGTTCAATCAACTCTTTGTAATATATGCTTGTTTTCTCCCGGACTCTCCACTTGTGGTCCTCCTTTGATATTCTAAACCCCAGAATCATTGGTGTTTTCTTGCTGGTTTTTTATTGATTGTTTTTCTTGGTACACAAGGATTGAGCCGAAGCCTTCATGGGAAGGCAAATAGGAGAGTAATATCCAAAGAGCTTAGCCCCAATGCATAATTTGGTGAAATGGAACACAGAAAAAACATGCCTTTTTGTCGGTGATTGACAGAGATTAGTGGTTATTTTGCCTTCTATTGAGCCGTGAAACAAGGCCTTGATGGACTTGAGACTGAGGGTCGGCGGCCCCGATGGTGGTGGTGAGATTGAAGGGACCTCACCGGACATGTTAAAGAATACACCTTGGAATATACGGAGATTGGCGAGTGAGATTGAGCAGTGTGAAGGCAGGCAGAAATATCTTGCTCACACGAGGAGCCCCTCAGATGGCGGGGATGTTCGGTGGTACTTTTGCAAGGTCCCTTTGGCAGTTAATGGTCAGTGCCCTGTTCATGGGAGCTTTAAATTTGCTTAGTCGATTACTATATGTTTTCAATTCATTTGCCATTTTGAAAAGGAAAAAAAGAGAGGAACAAAGAAATAGGTAAGCTTGCTTGTGAGCTTGTAAGATGGATTGGAGAAATTTGCTTTACTTGTTCAATGATGCATTCATTTTTTTCTACGTACGCTTGATCCTGTCTGTTCTGCGTCATCTTGCTGGCTTAATGACAACTAACCTTTGCATCTTTTTTGTTTCCCTGGCAAGCATGCTTGAAGAACATATGAGATGTAATGGAAATTGAATGAATTTGCTGGCGAAAGAGGAGGATTTAAGGAGATCAGAAATTTTCTTCTGGTCTCTCTTTTCAAGAAATGTCATGCTCTAATTTTTGTTTTTGCCTGCTTTAAGGATATCTCGGAGTAGCTGTCTGTGATTGGAGATAGCAAATAATGCAGTTTAAGTGAAATCCTTTCAAATGATTGTAAAATGATTTACATGTAAATGGATAACACATTACCGCCTTTACTAATGAACTTTGCTGAAACAACACAAAACATGCATCAGAGTCTCCAATTCTGTTGCTTGAGGAAATCGGCTTTCTATTTATGACTGTGTTTTCTACGAGGCCTATGCGCATCAATTGCTTCAAATTTATGCTTTGTGGCATGTGAATGTGATAAATGATTTATTTTTCAGAGTTAGCTGCATCAGTCCCTGCAACAGAAGTTGTTGGTAAAGGTGATTATTTTCGGTTTGGTATGAGAGATTCCCTTGCAATAGAGGCAGCTTTTTTGCAGGTCAAGTGGTTTCCTCTGTACATATTCTTTTATCACTTTAATTTTGTGTATCATATTACTCTCTTACATGAAAAAATGTTTGTATACTATAGTTTCTTATACTTCATGACGATGACTAATGGTTTCTCTACTGACAGAGAGAGGATGAGTTACTCTCCTGTTGGTGGAAAGAGTATTCTGAGTGTAGTGAAGGCCCAAGGGGCACAGGTGTTGTTCCCACGTCATTCTCACAGAAAAAAGAATTATTTCCCACGAGTCCAGAGTCAACCGAGCTATATGCAGTTGAAGAAGAAAGAGTTGGTGTCCCTATAAAAGGAGGATTATACGAGGTAGCAGTATTATCTTTAGTACTCTTATAACCAAATTGTTTCTTTGTGAAGGGAACGCTGAAAGTTTATTTTTTCATTTATACCCCTGAAATCGTCAGCCTTATTATCAGTGAGCTATTAATTTTTGAACTTCTTGTCTCACACGCATAGTAACTGGGAATGTTTGATTAAGTTTGTATTGCTAGACATGCTGGTAAACAAGATGTTCATTTCTATATCTTAGCTTTGGGAGATAGACTCACAAAGTTCAGCATAATTTTATCATGCTCAGTTAATATCAGTAGAGGTACTCACCTTTTCTGCTCTGTCAAAGTATTTTCTATGTACAAGATTATTCATGTCAATGGATTGTGTTTGAGATTGTATGCATATTTTCTAAGATGAGTCTTTTATAATGGCTCTTTGCCTCAACCTGTGATAACACCAAATTAAGTGCAGTGATTATATGGATGCAACTAGAGTCATAAAAATATTGACTGTGGAGAAAGTGCAGTCATAAAAATAGAGCCTTTTCATACTTGGTGTACAGATTGAACGGCTGTTGATGTTTGTCGTATGAATTTAGTATTTATGCAAGTAATCCAGTCATGCACGAACGAATATTTAATGTGGATATCTTGCATGTTCTTCTCATTTGACAATTATGGAGAATGCATGTCCAAACACACCGTGGGTTCATAAATTTCTCAGTGTGAAAAGAGAAAAAATGCTGAAACGTATTGCTTGTTGTAGGTAGATTTGGTCAGGAGACATTGTTTTTCTGTATACTGGAATGGAGAGGTTAGACGTGTCCTGCGTGGCCACTGGTTTGCAGGTGGTCTTGATTGGCTTCCACTGCGTGAGGATGTTTCAGAGCAATTGGAGTATGCATATCGTACTCAGGTGCACTTCAATTCTTCCATTCTTTGCTCAAATAGTTCATATAGTAGATTTCAAACATATCGTAGGTGCAACCATTTGCCTAGTTTATAATTAATATACTAATCTTTTCTTATTCTTCATGGTACCTTATAGGTTCTTTCTGATCAGTTTTCTCCAGTTTTCCTTACTCTAGTTTTTAACTTCCTTTTTTGATGTGACAACTTATTATCTTTTCAGGTTTGGCATAGGAGAACCTTTCAGCAGTCTGGTCTTTTTGCTGCTCGTGTTGATCTTCAGGGCTCTACTCCAGTATGCCCTTTGCTTTAGTTTAATATTACTTGTCGTTGTTATTATCAGTTTAGACATTAGTTAATAATGCATTTTTGTGCTGTAGGGACTGCATGCTCTTTTTGTTGGGGAAGACGATACATGGGAAGCTTGGCTAAATGTTGATGCTTCTGGGTTTTCTGGTGTTGTAGGTTTTGGAGGAAATGGCATTAAGTTAAGACGTGGCTTTGCTCCATCTCATTCACAAAAACCAACGCAGGTTATTCCTCTACTTTTTTTCTTTGTTTTTTGCTTTCAACTGTCGTCATACAAATAAGAATAATATTAATCACTTTGAAAAAACTGATTATGTGTACTACAAAATATACACAACAGAAGAAAGAAAAAATGTGAGGTGATTACATGATTTCTTCTTTAAATGAGGAATCAAGGTCATGGGAATTGGTTTCAGTAATCTTTCCCTTTACCCTAATTAAATTCTAAAATTACGAATAAAATTGTAACTTTGATTACAAATCTTGCTCATTAACACTGTTTTGGCGTACAATTTGTTATCTAGTTAAAGTATAGGTCATCTCACACTCGTATTGAGACTCTGATATGAAATGTCAATCAATATTGACACGTTGGATTCGATTATGAAGCACTGGCTCGTTAACAATGCTAGTTGCTGCTTGGTTGATATGCATCTTGTGATTGGATCAGATATTTTATACACCAAGTTGACTGGGCATCTGTTTTATATAAATATCTTCACATATTAATACAAATAAGCAGATGTTGGTATCCTATTTGTAGTATCTCCGGCCTAGTTTACCTCATAGTAGATTTCAATATTCTCGTATCCTGGTTACTGGAAAAGCAATCCATTTGTCAAGAAGTCATCTTTTGAAATCACGTGGCTTTTGTCATTGTTTTATTTAATTTCTCTATCAAGCGAAGTTTTGATCACAAATATTAATTTTGGGGGAACTATTTCCTTATTCAATAACCGAAAGGGACGTTTCATTTATTTCAGGATGAATTACGTCAGCAAAAGGAGGAAGAAATGGATGATTACTGTTCTCAGGTATGAATGATTTAGATGTGATCTATGTTCTGAAACACCCAATATATTTCTAGCTCGAGGACGTGAAGAGAGAATAAGTAAATATGATTGCTGCAATCCTTAATTATCTTGAGTTAGTGTTCTGGGAACATATCGGTGTTCCGTTAAGTAACAGAGAAATTCCCATTTTATTGTAACAACAGCATTTCTGGATGTTTTTATTCTTTATCTGGCTTGATTTACCACAGAAAAGAACCGGGGTTCTTGGAAAGTAAATGAGAAATAAATAACCCCGTGCTTCTATATGTCATTTACTTATATTTTACACCTTTGATCTGTAATTGAAGCACTTTACATTGGTTTCAAAGAAGAAGACTGAGATGAATAGTACACTAATATGTGTGGTCTTAAGTAACTTTAACAGATTGGTTTTAGTGCGATATCATAACTCACCAGACACCATGAACAGCGTCTTTAGTTTTCAATACTCAACACCAGGAACAGCGTCTTTAGTTTTCAATACTCTTAACTTGTTGCTAGGGCTTTGAAAACATCTCTTGCTTGAGCTTGCGCTTGTACGGAATATGAATTTGATGTTTAGTAAAGATGTGCACAAGAATGTGTGTATGCGTGCCTGCCGAAGCTTTGTTGTCCTAAACTTACGTTTGCTTCTCAATGCCACCAATGATTTTCTGTGAAGTAAAACGTTTACTTCAAGCATATTTTTTATAGGTTCCTGTTCGACATTTAGTATTCATGGTTCATGGTATTGGTCAAAGGATGGAGAAATCAAATTTGGTCGATGATGTTGGAGACTTTCGCCTTGTAACTGCAAATGTTGCTGAAAGACACCTGACTTCCCACCAACTTGCCACACAAAGAGTTCTTTATATTCCTTGCCAGGTACTGTACACTTTTCCACTTCATATTTTTGTAACTGCTTGTTGCTTTCCATAACCTGATTGTGATCATCGATTCATTTCTCTGATGTGAAAGCAATTTCATTTTTTTTTTTTTTATTGGAGATTTGAAATGCACTATAGTTCCCTTCATTTCTATATATATATAATATAGTCTTATATATTAAAATGAGTTCCAGCTTTTGTTCTGCAAATACTGATGTGACTCAATAAGGTGGAGTAGATTGATATGTGAAATAGTGAGATATTTGGGGGTAGATATTGAAAATATAAGAGTTTGTATTATTTGCTTATTCATAAATGAATGGAATATATGTTGTATAATATATATGATAGAATGGGAGAGTTTGAGCTTCATACTCAGAATATCAAAATAGTATTTGGACTGGAACTTCTGAGAATTAATGTAGTTTCTGTTTATAATATTGGACAAGTCATCTTCTTCTTGTTCTTTATTTATTTATCCTAATCCTTACTGGAGTTTAATCGGTCCCTGCCCACTTCACTAAATATTGAACTGTCAAAAGTAATTACAATATATAAAAGCAAGAGATGAAGAGTACTTGATCCCTCAAAAAAAGTCGTAAAATCAAAATCCAAATTTCAAACCTTAAGCAAATTAAACCTTTATAAACAACTTTGAAATTCAGGGCAAACTTGATATGCTCCTAGTACTCAATACAGGAGGAGGTCACTAGCTATCTAAGTGAGTTTCAAACCAGTTGGTCGGATGAGAACTAGTTCGTTAAGTTTATAAACTAGGTTCCTCAAATTCATCTAATGTCGGATAATTCACAAGACACATTTTACCACAAAAATATGACCTTTCTAGGCATCTATTTTGAACTCCAAAAACCTGAAGAAACAGTATCACAAGCAAAATTCGTCGATGGTAGTGGTTGTTGGATGTATTGTTAAGCAACTTATTTAGCATTTTATTCATTTGTTTATGTTTTCTTCTCTGACATAGAGTTCTAGTGCTCCTCAGAATTGATGTTCCTTATGCTGTCTATTATAGCTACCGTTATTATCATAACTATTATTAAACCACTATCATCGTGATGTTTACCCTTGACAGTGGAGAAAGGGCCTGGCTCTTAGTGGCGAAGCTGCAGTCGAAAAGATAACTTTAGATGGTGTCCGAGGGCTGCGTACCATGTTGAGTGCAACTGTTCATGATATCTTATACTATATGAGCCCTATATATTGTCAGGAAATCATTGACTCGGTACACACTACTGAGTGTATTTTCTCAACATCTTCACATTCTTGCTCCTCTTTATTTTTAATTTTTAGAAAGAAAGAAGAAAAGTGCTGATATTTAAGGTAACTTCAGAAAATTTAAGTCACAGCTGTTCATGTCATGTTCAGGTATCCAACCAACTAAATAAACTATATCTGAAGTTTCTGAAGAGGAATCCTGGGTATGATGGAAAGGTATTCGAATTTTGACCAATAGAAAACCTTCTATAACTTTTTTTCAACTCTCGTTTGCTTATTCAAATAACTGTCAAGAGGAGTCTCCAGATGTGAATCTGATTTGCAGGTCTCCATATACGGTCACTCTCTAGGTAGTGTTTTATCTTATGATATCCTTTGTCATCAACAAACTCTGTGTTCGCCCTTCCCCATGGAGTGGATGTACAAAGAACAAAAGGAAAGTGATGTGGCATGTCCTGTTAGGAACAACTTAACACCTAGCAACCCAATACCAAATCCTAGGAACAATAGCTCTGAGAATGTCGAGTTTGTGAACAAGGGCAGTTATATGGACTATCGGGACCTTTCTGAAGAGCCTGTGGAGAGAACATTCCATCTAAGTCCGCCTGCATCATCAGAGTCTGATGAGTCATCATCAACACCTGACATTGGCTATCAGCAGACAATTGATGCCTTGTCATTAGATGAAAACTGCGATGAACCTTTTCGCTATTCAGATCATGTTGATTTCCCCAGTAGCAGCATGAAAACTAACTTTGAGTCTTGTGATGATAATACGGATGACAAGGCCATCTCTGATAATAAAGACGAGACAATTAAATCTTTGGCGGAAGAGGTAGTTACTGATGTGGTTCATATGTGTTGCTCGCCTGATATCTCCATTTCCCTTCTCATGTTTTCACACTTGATACCCAGATTAGTCTGCTGAAATCAAAACTCAAGGAATTGGAAGCTGATAAAGGTATGGTTTACAGTTTCTAATATGCTGTTGGGCACTTGTTTTGGACTATATTTGTTCATTTCTTGCGGTTTTAGCTTGAAGGCTCTTAAAAGTTGTATCTTGTATTTCACATGACATGCTACCAGTGAATGGAAAAAAGTCTGCGACAGTTGAAAATCAATCTGGTCCTGAGAGAGTTCAATGTGAGCATGCAGATCCTGTGAAGAGTTATAAACCCCAAATAAGATACACAAAGCTAGAGTTCAAGGTATTTTCCTGCCATCTCTTACGCCTTTGACATTAGATTTACAGACTCTCGAAAGTTGTTTATAAAGATGAATTTTATGCAACTCTTATTATAAAGCCTGCAGTGTACATGTTTTTCTATTCTATAATTATGTTAAATATGAGATTATAACATATCAATTCTTAACATATCAATTCTTATGTCAGGTTGACACATTCTTTGCTGTTGGATCTCCCCTTGGGGTATTCCTTTCCCTGCGGAATATTCGAATTGGAATTGGTAATATTCAAGGCTTGATACTTGCATGTCTACATTCCTATCCTTTTTTTCCTTTTTTTTTTTTTTAATCTATACATGTCTCTTAAGTTGTTGGCATCCTTATCCTTTAAGCATGGAATGAGAATCACGTACGATAAATTTTGTTTTTTGTCTGCATAGAGTGATAACATGTTCAGTTGTTCTTGTCGTTGTTTTTAAATTATTTTACCATGAAGAATACATTATTTTTTTTCCCGATATTTGGTTTGTCTAATTGGGTCTGATAGTTGCATCAGAATTCCTTCCTGAAAAGCCTTGCCTTGTTAACTGTGAGTTGTCACTTGTGTTGTCAACTCATATTGAGCACTTTTCATTTCCTATTTATCTTTCCAGATATCCACCATGCATTTTCAGTTTCAGATTAATTGTCCGCGGGTTTCTTTATTTGTTTATTCGGATTATATATTTAAAATTTTTTATTGGCTTTATAGGCAAAGGGAAAGAATACTGGAAAGAGGAAAATATAAATGAGGAGATGCCAGCATGTCGGCAAATGTTCAACATTTTCCATCCTTTTGATCCTGTAGCATATAGGTATGTCTTATACTCTTCTAAAGTTTTGATCACGACTTTTTCGGTTTTCTTCCTGATAAGTCTCATATCTAGTATATTTTGCTGCACAGAATAGAACCACTCATTTGCAAAGAATATATACGCAAACCTCCCGTCATTATTCCCTACCACAGAGGCGGGAAACGGCTGTATGTTGTTTATGGTGTAAGAGAACTATTACTCCTCCCATGGCATTTTGTTGAATTTATATTGTTGAATTTATATACTTTATTTAGTTCTCATACTCTATATCATACAGGAATTCAAAGAAGGGTTAGCTACATATTCAAGAGCAATAGCGGATAAGTTCAGCGCTATACGGGTAGGTCTCTTGGTTCTTTTACTTTCCTTTCTGAAATTCTCAAATTAGGACATTCCTTAGAATATTTTATTTTTTCCAATGTTATCAGAACTGGATCGGTCATCCAACCAGTCAAGCTACTGGTTCAATGGTTCACTGGTCAGACCACCCAATATATTAATATTCTAAAATATATATAATAGATTTTGTATATAAAAAATGTAATTAATTAAATATTTAGATAATTTAAAATATTCAAATACTTAAACATATTCGTAAATAGTTTATAAATATTCATTAGACATAAAGACTATGAGATTAAACATATATGAGATATATTATAAAACATTTTATATGACATAGAAAGTAGATATAAGACTATTACATCAAATACTCATGATTTCATTCCCCAGCTTTTCAGCATACTACAGACAACCCGAAATTTCCATTCCACATTTTATGATTACAATCCCTAGAGTTCTGTAAATGCTTTTCAACGATTACAACCCCTAGAGTTATGACAACATTGAAATCTACTCGGTCACCAAAATCAATTTTGTTTCATTTGACGAATTGGAACTCGCAAAGCAGGCCAGGGCTTTGTCGACTCACATCACAGGTTGGCTTGGAGCAATTCAAGGTGACATTGACATCCCAGATCCGCTTTCGCTTGCGCTTGACAACCTTTATGATGAACTCTTGAACCCTAAACTCATCAACGATTACGTAAATTTCTTTTCATTTTGAGTTTTCATTTACAATATATTGTGGAGAAACCGAGGCTTTTTTAACGATTTTGTGTTTTGTGTGTAAAATGAAGTATTCTACATGTAAATTTCATTAAATGTTTGCTTTGTTGTTTGATTTTCACTAAATTTCTTGTTAAATATTTCCAGTCGAAGACATAAATACTTAAATATACAGTTATTGTGAAGTATATAAGTATAAGGTTTGAAGCAATGTATGAGTAACACTTAAAAAAATAAGGGTTGCTCCTTGTAGTAATGTGATGTTTGTAATTTGTTTGGATTTTTTTTTTTTTATTTTCTTCTTTCTTTTTTTGTACTTAACTATTGTTTGGTGTCATTGGATCTTTTGCTCAAGCCTTGTTTGTTTGATTTCTCATGTGGATCTTACCAATCCTTTGGTTGCTCTATATGTGTCTTCTGTTTGAGTTGTATAAAAGTTGGTTTATTGTTGGAAAAGAAAAACTATCCTTTTGTTGTGGTTTTTATCAGACTATAGATAGACTATAGATTGGAGAAAGATGCTCCGTCTCGAGGTTCCCATACAGTATCTAGATAGTTTTTCTTTTCCCACAATAAACCAATTTTTGTAAAACTCAAACCGAAGGCACATATAGAGCAACCATAGGATTGCTAAGATCCACAGGGGAAATCAAACAAACAAGGTTTGAGCAAAAGGTCCAATGACACCAAACAAATAGTTAAGTACAGAAAAAGAAAGAAGAAGGAAAAGACCTAAGCAAATTACAAACATCACATTACTACACGGAGCAGCCCATCTTGTTACTCATACATTGCTTCAAATCTTATACCTATATACTTCACAATAACTGTATATTTGTTGTCTTGGACTGGAAATATTTAACAAGAAATTTAGTGAAAATCAAACATCAAAGCAAACATTTAATGAAATTTACATGTAGAATACTTCATGTTACACACAAAATCGTTTAAAACTGTCTCGAAAAATACTACCAAATAAGTTTTATACACAATATATTGTAAATGAAAATGAAAAGAAATTTACGCAATCGTTGATGAGTCTGGGGTTCAAGAGTTCATCATAAAGGTTGTCAAGCGAAGCGGATCTGGGATGTCAATGTCACCTTGAAGAGACTGAGTAGATTTCAATGTCGTCATAACTGTAGGGGTTGTAATCTTAAATTCTTCAACTCAATCTTAATGGTTGAAAAGCAAGAGTACAAGTGGGCAAAGTCATCTTTTAGCTCCAGCTTGTGTGAAGGCAGAGAAAGCTGCTCGACTGCTTGGCACTTATTAATTTAGCTTTTAGAGCATCTTTTACATTGCCATAGATAGTCATAATCTTGTTATGCAGCAAGTTAGCTCCATGCATGCGTTGTTTTCAAGGAACTAATATTTCCAAAAAGCAGATATGTAGTTTTATATAACACTAAGCTTTTTTAATAGGCTAAAGTGCTGACGCTCTGTGAATCAGGGCACGATGATGGCCAGGACAGTAAGTACTTTCTATGACCTGCCACTCTTTGCGCAGAACTCTTTTCCCTTTTTTTCTTTTTTTCATTTTTCCTTCCACCTTCTATTCACTAATTAGATTATAGATTAGGAGCTGCTTGTTAAGTGGAGTATTATTTATGGTAACTAATACTCAGATGAACGAATCACCTCTATCGTAATCACATTTTACTGTCTCCAACATAATATTGGAAGGAAATTTTTAAAATGAGATAGATTTTATGTGGTCCCGAGGAAATTAATTCTTAGAAATTGTTTACTGTCTTTCAATTATATATTCTTTTTTACATGTTTCTGTAAATGTATTTGAATATTCCCATATTTCACGCAGAGCAATCAGAAAATAACCAAGAGGAAAAGGAGAGATCTTATGGCTCAGTAATGATGGATAGATTAATAGGACACGAAGGCGGGAGGATAGATCATGTATTACAAGTATGCCAGATCCTTTGACCATTTTGTTAAAAATGTCGAAAAATTTGATCAAAGTAAAAGCCGATTATAAATATCTCTTCTGTGCCCTTTTTTTTATCTTAATGCAGGATAAAACTTTTCGTCATCCGTATGTATCGGCCATTGGGGCACACACGTAAGTCTTTTCTGATGTTTAAACTGGTGGAATTTACGTGCTCGACTGACACACTGCCAGTTTTTAAGGATTTAACCGAAACTGTTTAGAATGTGATTCAATTTTTGGCACAGAAACTACTGGAGAGATTATGATACTGCCCTTTTCATGTTAAACCATCTGTACCGGGATGTAGCAGAGGAACCTGTCTCGCCTAAGGACCCACCTCTTAAAGGCGACTTAAAGGACGAATATAGGTTCAAAGGTTGGTCTGATCCAAGGGAGGCTGCTGAGGAGGAACTCCCTTTGACTTTTGCAGATGGTGTCTCGGTAAAGCATTTTTCTTTTAAAGTGAAGAAAGTGATGAGAAGGTGAAACTCTTGTGTCATTTTGCAGATAAGGGGTGTTATAGGTTCTTCACTGATGGCCCGTCGTGCACCAATTGGTATAATTTTGTTGCTTTTCAAGTGCATATAGAGAGTATAGACATAGTGTAGCATGAATACATAACACCCGGTGCAGGATTTTGTCTATAGTGTATCATATGGAGCCTGGAGGGTGATTTGTGTGTGTTAAGGGAATTTAAGTAACATAGGAAAATGGAACATGTAAATTCTTTCTACTTTATCTATTTGACTTATATATGTTTGAAATTTGTTGGTAGCTTACGTAGCTTAGTTACATGGACTGCATAAATTTTCTGATATATAATGTAGTACTTGGCGTGCACTTTACTGGTTAGTACAAACAGAAATAATACCATTGTTTTTTATTTTTATTTTTATTTTTATTTTTATTTTTTTTTTTTATTTTTCTCGAAATGATAGATATTATATTAATCCTCAAAAGGGAGATTACAAAATAGATCCAAAGAGAACAACCAAACGGTAGAATCTGGGAGGAGCACTAATAGTAGTGTCTTAAATCAAAACAAAGGAAGATAAGTTTAAAATTTAGGGAGTGGCGACCACACTGAACCCAGAGCTGGACGCCTAATCCCACACTCAAACTAAAAACTTCCCAAAATGGGAGATACCTATTCCAACAATTGGAGAATAACGAATAAAAACTACACACTTAATCTAGCTATAAACTAGTACCTCCCAACTACCACAAGCAGCCCACAACAAAACCTCAGACGAGCACATAAGCTAGAATCCACACACGACAAACCCATGAACAGAACCTAAAGCGCGACATAAACAAACCCCATAACTAAAAACTCCATGGAATTGGCTTGGTAGAACCGGGAAGGCAAGCCTTAGTCCAGATCTGAAAACCCAAAATCTCTGATCGCGGTAAAAAGAGGGCACGGAAGGATTGGCATTGCCATGCCTAAGGGCCAAACTAGCGCACCTTGAGGGGACTTGACTCGGAGGTGAAGCCAGTCGAGAGGCCACCAGCAGTAAGAAGAAGACGGAACATCGGCCAAGACACTGGAAAACGGCTCGCACGAGGCAGAGGGCTGCAAGGCAAAAAAGTGGCGCATAACCCAAATGAAGACAGGGCCGCACGGTGCAAGGCGCCGCAAACTCTCTCCCACTTGTGAGTCGCGACACTGGGAAGGCGGTAGGGCTTCTACCTCATAACACAGGGGAAGAAAAGGGCAGCAACTAGGGTTGAGGGTTACCTGTCGGAGAAGGGGGCCGCGGTTGAAGAAGGAGAAGAGAGCGAGGCGGCGGCAGGGGAAATTTAGAGCTGAGAAAAATTAGAGATAATACCATTGTCATATCAGGAAAAAAAAAATTGGTGAATAAGAGTCAAAATCCTTTTGCACGGGCATTCAATTAAGTCTCAAATAACTTTTTTTTTTTTTTTTTTNNTTTCCGGAACGATAGATGGTTTTATTAATCAAAAGCGCACAAATATGCGAATTACACAAATAAACAGCAGCCGAAAAAGTGGGAGGACAGGTCAGAAGACCGCCTACAAATCCGCCGCTAGCAAAGCTAGAATGAAAACATACAAAACCACACAAACAAAAAACTAAAAAGATCCCAGCAGGATAATAACCGAGTGTCTCATTCCAGTGGGATAATAAGGTGACATTCCGGCTCACAGAGGCCAACAACCCAAACAAAAAATACAAGCCCTAAACAACACAATCACAGACAAAACTGACAAACAAAAAGCTACAGAAAACAAAGACAATAAACAAAACGAAACAAGCCCTTCCTAAGTAGCGAAACCAAGCAGAGCCAGTGGATACCGAGATGACCCACAACCAAAGAGGACCACCCGAAACTGCCCAAACACCAACTCGATGGCCTAACGAAGTCAGCCCAAGCCCCAGAACAACATCCGAAATCAAACTCGAACCACGACCTCAACACTCAAGGAGTCGCAGGATCACCACGAGACCGGACCACTAAAACCACTAGCGAGACCAACCACACCGGTAAACCCCCGAACCACGAAGATGCCGAGGCTGCAGCCACGTCCCATACTGCCCGAATCCGCCACAATTCGCCATCCCCCACTGCCCCACCCAACACCGAAGGAAAGGAGAAGAAGGCAGGAAGTGCAGCGGAGCTCCGACCGTCCGACAGCATCGCCGCCGAACAACCGAGGCATCAACCATCAGACCGAATCCGCTGCCGAAATCCTCCACCCACCACAGCCCTATCTCTGCCATCACCACTGGCCGGAGAAAGGAACCTTGGCCCTCCCCAGACCCACCACCGGAGGAAAGGGGAAGGAGATGAGAACTCAACGGAGATTCGAACACCCACACCCCGTCGTCACTCCCCAGGAAGCCGATAAAAGCCCGCGGGCCGGCAGCTTAATACCGACCCGATCCAGAGAGAAGAAGACAGCTTACCGGAAAACTGCCGACGGTGGAGGCGCGAAGCCGGGCGGAGGCCAGGCGGCCGGGGGACGGCCCCCGATTCGTGCTCAATTACTACCGAGGAAGGCGATCTATGCTGGAATTGAGAGGGACGATCCGATAGGGTTTGGAGAAAAAGGGGGAGAGAAAAATAATATTCCCCTCACTTTATCGATTTGTAGTCTCAAATAACTTTAAATTTAAGTTATGCATTTATGTCAATTTTTATGCTTAAAATTGTGGGAATTTTCACTCTTCCGGTAGGAATGGTAAGATATTGCATTTTTACGAGTGGGACAAATTTAATTGTATCTATACATAAAATCTATAATTTTATTAGAAGTATACCTCGTGTAAATAACGACAAAATTACAAAAATGATACACTAAGTTGGTCGTTGTCAACAAAAGAGACATTATGTTGGCACGCACGAAAAAGAGACACGAAGTTGGCATTTTGGTCGGAAACGACACACTAATCACCCCCTTGATAAAAATCCGACGTGGCATGATTAATTTATTACGTGGCTATTCCTTTTTTTGGGCTCTTCATACGTGGAATTTTCGTGTATGCCACCGTAAACGGATGTACATTTTGGAGGGAAAATCGCACCACACCCGTTGACGCACGAGGACCAGGTATTAATTTGGAGAAATCACACAACTCAGCCCTAATTCACCATTTCGATCGTGCACAAATCAGGGCAATTCGAAGAAACCTAAAAATCGTCACCTTCAATTTCGACCACAATCACTCAATTCAATTATCAAAACATTAATAATAGAGAATCACAAAGATGTCAGCGTTTTCATTTTCTTTTCCGTCTGAAATTTTATGCTCATGTGGAGAGAAGGCGCAATTGAGGACTTCGAAGATGAGTATGAATCAAGGGAAAAGATTCCATGGTTGTAAGAAATGGAAGCAATGAGGGTGCGATTTTTTCATGTGGGCCGAACCAACTTCTCAAATCAACTCAGCAACTTCATCAGGTATGAATAATCAAGCTTTGGCTCATGAATCTGAAATGAAGATTGTGTTGTTGGAGGCTGAAGTGAAAGTTCTGAAGATGAAGATATCAATGCTTGAAGATTCCAATGGAAAATTTGATTCTCAAATGAAAATGATGATGGGCAAGATTAAGAGAATTCACTTGTTTATTCTTGGTATTTGTATTGGTTTGACCTTATGTTTTTTAGTGAAGTAAAGAGTTTGTTCAAGCAGATGGGATCTGTATTGTGCATTCAAAAAAAAAGGTGTGATCTATTCTGATGTAGTGAGTATGTTATTGGTTGATTATGCAGTGGATTGATTTTTGTGGACTGCAAGAAATGTATTATGTTTGTATTATGAAGTGGATTGATTTCTGTGGATTGATCTGTGATCTGTGCATTCAAGATTTTTTCCGTTATTTTGCAACTAAGATGAAAGGATTAAAATTAACAATGCATTAGGTTGTCATTAACAAAACTTCAAAAAATGAGCCATTAAGAAAACTATCTAAATCAATCACCATTCACCATAACAAAACAATATCCCATAAAAAAATAACAATAACCATTCAAACCAGAACAACATCTCATAACCATTCAAACCAGAACAACATCCCAAAACAAAACAAGATCACAGTTTTCAGTTTCCTTTACCAAAACAAAACAACATCCCAAAACAAAAAACTGTCAAGTTCATAAGAAAGAGAATAATGATCCATAATCACAACACTTTCTCTTTTCCTTTACCATAATCACTCTTATTTTGATTGTTTAATCCTGACATAAGCTCAGACACAGATGTGTACTTC